GCTCTGTCATGCTCCTTACTTTACAGATGAGGAAAATGAGGCTCAGAAAGGTTAAGCCACTTCCCTCAGGACACATAGTGAAGTATAGAGCAAATATTTGATCCGAGGCAGTCTCACTCCAGATCCTGTGCTCATAATAACAGAAAATGTTGCCTTCAAATACAGTGTAGTGAGGACTGATAACATTTCAGTCATGGTGCAAAGAACTTGGGTTCATTGATGCCTTTAATGGCCATTCTTTGTGGATTCGGGACAACAGTGACCAGGGCAGTTTAAAGATCCTAGGAAATCTTTCTTTTGGAGGCTCCATCCTACATCATTTAAAAACAATGAAAAGGTACATTACATGTAATTTTTTTTTGCTGTAAATACTTGGAAGACTTTTAAAAAATAATTTTGCCTGTAAAGTAATCAGGCTATGAACAATTTACTTAATTCATGATTGGCTGTGATTTCTCATTCTCGCTTGGAATTCTTGTGAAGAAAGGACGTCTAACCTACAGATTGTTTTTAGAATGTAATGAATTTTTTATGAATATTAGTTTAGCAAATGAGGTTGACATAATATTATATTTTCTAGGCATTTAATTAAACATCTATTGATTGTGGTTTTGCAGTGTTCTTTTCATAGTTCTGAGCATGTGTGTGTGTGTATATATATACATACATATATATATACACACACACACACACACACACACACACATAATCTCCAGCACTACGGCTATGTGGCCATCATGAATAAAATGGCCATGTTCCTGGCCGTACCCCACATCTGCTCCGTTCTTGTAGCTGACCATAAGTAGGCAAAATAACTGATCCCCCACCAAGGGGCTGGCTGTAAAGACCCTCCTGCCTCAGACTACTTTATTCATTGGCTGCTGGTGGTGTTTCACAGGGATTCAGCCAACACTGATGAGGAAGATTGGATGTACCTCACAGGAAGCACAGAATGTTGATATAGTTACAGAGTGCTCCCTCATTCCAGTCTTCTAGCGTATTGCCTGCAGGCATGGGGCATTCGCCTTCTTTCCTGGGATCATGACTAGAGAACCTGCCATGCCTATAGCTAGGTTTTCCTGTCTTTTTGTATCACTTGCTCTTGGCTATGTAATGGTACCTCTCTGCTTTACTGCTTACTCTACCAGGTAATCAGGACTAGCACAGTGGTTAAGAATAGGCTTTGGGAATCGGACATCCTAAGGTTCTCACCCCAGCTCTGGCACCTAATCTATGAGTTTGGGCAAATCACTTAACCTAGGCATCTATTTCTAGTTTGTAAAGTGATAATAATAGGACCTACCTCATAGGTTCTGTTCTGAACTGGCTGGCTTTCCATTTGACCAGGCTCTTTCTTCACTCTCTGGAAGTGGAATTGAGGGATCCAGGAGTCCTTTACTAATTCTTAGCTGTCTATTGGGAATTCTAGCAGATTATGTTCATACTTTGATGTCTGGTACCTATGACATCTTAGTACCTCCGCCCTGGTACACGACATAATCCTGTTCAGTCCTGGCCATAACCACCTGTGGAAGGTGCTGTCATTCTCCACATTTTATAGAGAAGGAAAGAGACTTAAAGTTAAGTGACTTGTTCACGGTCACACCATGAAGAGAGGCAGAGCTGGGATGAGAACCCATGTCAGTGGCTTCAAACAACCATTTGAATTGCTCACAAATGTGTGGGTCCATGTTTGGCTGGTCTCAACAGGATGGTTCTTCTGGTCTTGCCTGGGGTCACTCGTGGGGCTGCAGTCATCTGATGGCTGGACCGGGACTGATGCTGTAAGGATGGCCTCACTCTCATGTTTGATAACTGATGTTTGCTCTCTCTCTCTCTGCACGTGTTGTCCTTTCAAGGAGGCCAGATGGAGCTTCCCAACCTGGTGGTCTCAGGGTTCCAAGACAGCTAGAGCAAAATCTGCCAAGCCTCTTGAAGTCTAGGCTTGGAAGTCCCCAAATATCATTTTCACCATATTCTGTTGGTCCAAGCAAGTCACGAGGCCCATCCAGATTCAAGGGGTGGGAACTGTGGCAGTGGGAATACAACTTCTGGGTGTGGGCAGTAAAAGGACACATCTGCTGGAGAGAAGTGAAAAAAAAATAATGAAAATAAGAGTTGGTCTGCTTTTTATCATCACTCTCTGCTGGTAATTCTAAACAATGTGGTAGGATACTCCTCCCCGCTGGAGCAAACTGCTCCCACCTCTGCTATCCCTTAGTGAGCCCCTGGTGGGGAAAGAGAGCCCCTGATGGCAGTGGTGACAAAGTCACATGGCAGTGGTGACAAAGTCACATTGCAGAGGGGCACATGCACAGGGCTGGGAAGGATCATTCCAGCCCACTTTGTAAGCAGTCACAGGGTGAGATGCGGGAGGAGACTGTGCGATGGGCAAGGGAGGCCCCAAGAACAACTTTTCTTACTTCACATTTTCATTTTGACCCAATGCTGCAATTTCTGAAAGATGGCAGGATCATTTTCAGCTTTTAAAGTCAATTAATTATACTGCTATGAGCTAGTAAAATAATTAGTAAATGTTAACATTTGCATGTTGTTTTAATTAAGAAATAAATGTCTTTGAATGAAAAAGTACCTGCCAGCTTACCCATTAATTATCAGAGTACTGAAAGCACACTTTGCAAGGTGGCTCCAAAAGTACCTTGGCAAAATGAGCCCTCAATCACTTTTTGCCTGGATGAGTCATGCTGTTTTTCCTTGAAGTTCAAAGCGCCAGTCAGGTGGAAAGAGGGGAGTCCTTACCTGATAGGAGGAGAGCAGCATGACCTGGACTCTTTCGACATAGTTGGGGTGCTAGATGGACAGTTGGGGTTCTATGCAGACAGTTTTGCTTCCAAGGAAGTTTCTGTTAATAATACCTTCTGTTTTCTACTTCTTTTGTTAAAAAAAGAGGTGATCATGCTTTATCTTCTCATGAACTTTACTTTTTTGTGATTGGTCTTCTATTTCTTACGTGTTGCTTGGGGTCAGTCCCTGTCAGACAATCAGGTGTACACTCCCAGGGGCAGGAGCTAGGGCTATCTATATTGCTCCTCTTTCGTAAAATCTTGGTATTTTTTATTTTATTTTATTTTTACAGCTGCCTTCTCCCACTCTGATTTGTCTTTTCACTCTCTTCTGCTTTTTAAAATAGAATTTCTTAGTTTTGATAAATAAAAGTTCTTAATTTCAATATATTCCAATTAACTCCTCTTTTCTTACATGGTTTGTAGGTTTCCTTTCTTGATCATAAATGCATTCTCTTGTATTATTCTTTAAAAGCTTAATTTTTTTGGTCTTTCATGTTTCTTGGTCTTTTTTTTTCTTTTGTATTTACATCTACAATCTACTCAGAACTAAGTTTTGTGACTGGTGTGAGAGGGAGTTAAGCCTCAAATTTTTTTCCTTGTGTATATCCAATTGACCCAGTACCTTTGTAGAGAAGACTGTGTCTCCCCCATTACTCTGATGTTTACACTGAGGCCATGCTTCTCCCAGGCTGTCTCCAGTCATTGCCTGAGCACAGAGAGGGCACTGAAGCCTCATTTCTGTCCCATGTGGGGGTTTCCTCTAATGGGGACCTTTGCTTAGAGACCACTCATCAGTCAACTGAGACTTTCTGCAGTGTGGTCTGAGACTCTTCCTACCCAGTCTTCCTCCCACCCCTCACAGGTGTCAGAGCTGCACTGTGGTCCAAAGGCTTTCCCTGCCTGCGGCCCTTCCCTCCCTCTTTATCCTTCACAAGCATCCCCCCCATCCCCTACTCTCACTCCCCTGTCAACATCTTGCATGTTTAATCCTGTCTTGGCATCTGTTTCTTGGGGGCCCTGAACTGACAGAGTGGGTAGATCCTAGAGTAAGAGGCATTCATACTTTGGTGTCAGGGTGATGAAAGACTGGGCCAAGTTCAAGGCACAAGAGTGGATGAGGAGAATGGATTGAAGGACTTCCTGAAAAACAGAGGGAATGGAAACTGTGCCTGACAGTGTAGAGGGCAAAGGAGGGGGTGGATTATGTCACGGAGGTGGAGCTCATTTGAGGGAACCATCAGTGACATTAGTCCTATGCTAATTAAAGGATTTTTTTGAGAGAAAAAAATTAATAACGTTAAGTTACATTTGTATTGGGGCTTGACAGTTTACTGAGTGCATTTGCACATCACCTCTTTTACTCTTTAACGGGGCTTCTGAGTAGGGGAGAAGGGAGAAACAAGTCGGGGAAGTCCTATTTGTCTCTCCTTTCCTGTGTTCTTCACGCCAACCGTCCCACCCCAGATTGTCTTTCTTCCCTTCTGTTTCCAAGGACTGTTAAGAGTCAATTGAAGAAATTGGTCAGATTAGGCCATTTCTAGTCAAAGTAAAGGGTCGAGCTAGTGTTAGCACATGACAAGCCTATGTGAGAGAACTTAAGGCCATATGATGGTTGGAAGTGGGGGGGAGGGGCTGGGGTATACATTGATTTGGTTGGGTGACACCATATTTCATAACATGTGGGGATGGTTACTTCATGCAGGAGGGTGGAATGTTGATTTTTAGGGGGTCACTGTCAGAGAAGAGGAGAGAGACAGTAGAGAGGTGTATGTCAGTGAGAAGGAAAGACCATGATGGTGGGTTGGCAGAAGGACAATGCTATATTGAAACATTTAGATGGGGTTGCATGGTGTGTGCATGTGCGTGTGTGTGTGTGTGTTCTAGCTTCAGGTAGTATAATGAAAAAAAGAATTAGGTGGAGGGAAGAGAAATGTGAAAGAGGTGTGGAATCAAAAAGATTCCAAAGAACTTTAAGATCCTTAAGATCAGCAGCCATTAATGTAGGCTCAGTCAGCTGGTCCATATCAAGCATCTCCCGTGGCGGCTCGGCGCTACTGATGGTCCAGATGCTGTGTCTGGGAAGAAAGCTAGACTTTCAAGTTCCTTTCCTTTCTCGGATTGGACAGACAGGTATTTATTCAAAAGAACCAGATGGTTCAATGGAGTTTCTAACTTTATACTGTTGGATACCAGGTTTCAATCTAAATTTGAGCTCCAGCTTCCCGCTTTCCTGTTGGCCCTGGATTGAGAATAGCCTCTCGTTTACCAGCCATCTGGTCTCTCCAAACCTCTTCTGCCGAGTGGCATCTCCAAATATCTTCCCAGAGAGAAGACAGAATCTCAGACAAAATCTATAAGGTGAATATATGTTTTTTCCACAAGGGGATCCCTAGGTGGGGTTCTGGGGAGGAGTAAGTCCCCACATTGAAAGGGTCCATGTGATATGAGTCATGTTTTTGTTTGATTTGATAGAGGGGGCTCCCTGGATCAGTCAGATGTGGAGGTGCACCCTATCTGGGGTAGCCCATGCCTGTGCTTCTAGATCTTTGGTTCCCTGAAAGTTCCTTTTCTAAACAAGCAGGCTCTGGTGCGAATTATCCATCATCTAGCATCGATGAACACTTATAAATGCCTGCTGTTTGCAGGGCACTGGTGGCACAAAGAGGGTAGAAGAAATAGTCACACCAGCATTTAGAACATACCTCTTGTCTTCTAAGATGACAAAAATAGAGAAAATTTGGTTTAAGCATAACAGTAATTATTTTCAGGAAAATAATCCGTCATTATTTCTATCAGGTCTGTGTCTGGATAGAAGACATCAGGCTGTTCCCAGGGTTTGTGGAGACTTCAAGACAAATTATACTCTTAGCTTACTCTGCTTCCCACTCTCAACGCTTGTCCCTGACAACGCAGCATTTTTATCCTGGTGAGATCAGGTCAAAACGAATGTCAGGGGCTCACTGGAAGAGGATGAGAAGTCACAACACAGACACATGGGACTGAATAGAATTAAATGGAGGCATCACCACACGGTTTGCTCTGGGAAGTTTGGAGTTCAGGGGCTGGGGGTGGAGGTGTGAGCTCAGGCCCTTCCTTCTAAGCACCAGATGGCAGAGCCACCTCACTGCACTCTGCCTGCTGCCTGGCCCATGTGCCTGGGTGGCGTTGGCCTGCTCTGTCTTACACCAGGATGCCTCTGTCTGCCAGAAGGAATAATTAGAGTGGAAACAAATGTATGGCAATATCTGGATGGATACAGCTCAATTGGCTCCTGACAGGTCTCTGGCTAAGAGAGCCTGCAGCAGCTGCGGTGCTAGTTGGGGCGGGTGGGATCGTGTAGGACTCAGCAAGTGACGGGCAGACATCGCCCCGCTTCTGAGTCCTCTTTTTTTCGTTATACATATATATATTCCTTTTCATATTCTTTTTCTTTATAAGCTATTACAAGGTATTGAATTTAGTTCCCTGTTCTATACAGTAGGACCTTGTTGTTTATCTGTTTTATAAACAGCAGTTAGTATCTGCAAATGCCAAACTCCCATCCTAGTCCTTTTTGGTCTCACCTTACAAATGCCCCTAAGGCTGTGTGTGAGCAGGTTTGGAAATGAAAAGTCCAGTTTCTTCAATTCTGCAGAGGTTATCTCAGTCGCAACAGGCAAGCTGTCAAACTGATAACCGTTCCCCAGCATAGACTTTGCAATGCTTGGGGGCTCCTCTCAATATATACAATATACAGGGGGTGAGTTTTTAGGAGGAGGAGACCTGAGGGTGTGTAGGGGAGGGGACACACTGCAAATGTTTTTTTTTTCTTGCCAAAATTTTAAATCAGTCTTGTAGTTGTGGTTTAAGTTTGTGTGGTCCAGCTGCGTCCCCAAGTCACTGTCAGGTGACAGCCAAACCCCCGGCCTGTATCATACCTGCGGCCAAGTAGGTTATTGTTGCAAGAGTGCAGCACAGGTGAGGCGTAGGAACCTCGCAGTCTGCTCCTAAGGGATAAGGCTGTACATTTTCTGGGCTTGTCCTGTGGCCCTTACCCCACTGAGATTGTGAACCCAGCTCTGTCCCTCTTGCCGTCTTTGCTCCAGGCCCTCGCATCGATCTAGCTTCACACCTGCAGTTCTCCAGCCTGGGGCTTCCTCCCCTGGCTCCCCACCACCCCAGCCCCCGCCACGTGACAGGCTAACTCCTCTTTCAAGCCCGAGGTTAGTGTTGCTCCACCTGGGAAGGCTTTTCTGAGCCTCCAAGCCTGGTGCTGTGTGCGCCTGTGGCAGCCCCTGCCTCTCTGGTCATACCAGTTATTACTCATTCCTCTCTGCTCTGTATCCTCCACGAGGCAGGGACCCAGCACAGAGCCTGGCATGCGGAGGGCAGTCAGGGATGGAGTGAAGGGATGAACCATCTCGGCTGTCACCTGCTTCCGTCCATCACACAGCTGATGTCTGGCCAGCGTCTCTTCCTTTCCTCCTCTCCCTCACTCACCCGCCCGCTCTTCCAGACCACCAGTGAAAATGCCGTCCTTGCCTGGCCTGTTTCTTTCTCCACCTCATTTTAATTAACTCAGAAATCCCATGTTTGTCTCTGTGTCATACCTGGATGTCACTTCTCTCAAGTCTGTTTGGATGAAATAATGAAACTTCGTATGTGTCTTCTGTTTTTCCAAACTGCCTCATGGTTACTGGAGGAGAAAAGCAAAACTGCAGGGAGAAGACCAGTGTCGGAGGATTTATTACTAAAATGTCACCATTACCTGCATCTCTCTGGGGTCTGGGGCTCTTTTGTCTTTTGGTTTTTACCCCCATGTTTCTAAATAACATGCTTTTATTTCTCTTTCTTGATTTTTGGGTGTTAGGAATAATTTATTTTCCATCAAGGTAGAGAGGAATTTAGTTTTCTTTACATACTGCCCTCTCTTTCTGTCACACATGTGGTTAGATCAGTATTCAGTATCTGCATTCCTATGACTTAAGTAAGTGCTACTCATAACTGAGCCACATAGTATACTATGATTACTTTTTCTTTTCTATAAAACCTTTTGTCCTGTGTGTTTGATTGGTTAGCTTTCTTTGCACTTACCACTGATTCATTCTTCCAACTTGCTCCCAGTGTGTGAACCTGCTTTCGATATGTAACTACATTAGGTATGTCTATCAGTTTCATCTTCTTGATGATTTCCAGAGCCTCCTGACCTTCTCCAGACTAGGCTAGTTATTAAATAGCTGCTGTCTTGAGATGGCATTTTTTCCCCCATTATCCCCAAATTTTTTTTCTCTTTGTCTTTCTTTTGTGTTTGCTCTGTTTCCTGGATCCAATGTCCTTCTCTTTCTTAGTTTACTCTTTTGTTTTGGTGGAACACAACCTCTAGTACCTCCCTGAGAAAGGATGCATGCCAAGTAAGTGTTTTGAGATCTTAAATGTCTAAAAATATCTTTATTCTACCCCACACTTAATTATTGTTTGACTGTATCAATATGTGGAATTGAAGACATTTCCCCTGCTTCCTTGTCTCCTAGTTTCCAGTATTGCTGTTGAGAAACCCAACATCTTTTTGATTATCTACACTTTTGTTGAAATTCCTCTGCTCCTCATTTTTCCTCTCTCTGAAAGCTTGTAGAATTTTTTCTTATCCTTCATGGTCTAAAATTTCAAAGTGAATGCTTCTATTTTCCATCTGTTGTGCTGGGTACTCAGTAGGCTCTTTCAGTCTGGAAACTCATGTCCTTCTATCCTGGGAAATCTCAGTTATTTCTTTGTGAGTTTCTTCTTTTCCATGTAGAAAGCAAAGAACACCTCCTTATTACAAATATTTCTGTTGAGATGCTGGACCTACTGAACTGGTTGTCTTTTCATGTATTCCTTTTCTTTCCTTCTCCTGTCTTCTGTCTCTTTGCCTTGGGCTCTATTTTTGAGAGAGTTCTTCAATTTTAACTTCTCATCCTTCTATTGGGATTTTCATTTCTGTCATCATATTTTTAGTTTTTAATAATACAGGTTTTTTTGTTTTTTGTTTTTTTTGTAATCTCTATTTTTCTTTTTATAAGTTTTGTTCCCTCCAAGTTGCTTTTTCCTGCTTGTTTGTTTTGGTCTCTCTTTCATCTTAGAAAGCTTCTCAAATGTCCCAGTGATCCTAGGCCCTCTGTTTATATGCATGAGTGGGCTCCACAAAGCCTATTGGAAATTCTCTGCATGTTGGATGGGGCTTGTCAAAATGGGCTTCCCTATGTTATCTGGCTGGAGCATGTCTTTGGGGAATCTCTTGATGTCAGTATCTTTAGGTCATTTTTCTTTAGGATCAAATTTTAAAGGGAAGTCTCTTGCAGTCCCCAGTCTAAGGGGTAAAGTCTGGCCAGTAGTGTCTAGGAACTGAGTAGAAGTAGGCCTGAGATGGGGGAGGTGATGGTGTTTCAAAATTAAGTCTGTAAATGTTCAATTTATGCCCCTCATATTTTTAATTTGCCATCCCCATTCTTAGCTGTGCCTCGGGTCCTGCTTTTTTTCCTTTCCTGGAGAGTAAGCCTCTCATCTTTGGCCAAGGCAGTGCTGAGGGAATGGGGGTGGGGGTTGGGGGGTCTAACTGTATCTTAAATAGACTTTCAATCAGAGCCTTTGTGTTTAGCCCCCACTTCATCTCCATTCCCAGGGGTACCTGGAGCTGGTTTAGGATTCAGCTTTCTTAGGTCTTCAAAGTCAGTCACTACCTATCCATCTGCTTTCCAGTTTCCAGTATTGTGTTGCTACTGTCTTTATCCTGTTCTCTTTGTTCCAAGATTTTAGCCTTCCTGCAAGGCTCCTTTCCATTTTTGTGAGGTTTTTGAGGGAGCAGGAGCTATGAGTGTCTAATCTGCTGTCTAATCAGAGTCCTAACATTTCTTGAAATAAAAGAGGCATCATCATAGGGAAACGATTGGAAATCATTGCTCCAGTTTATGCCCTTCTATCCCTCATTTAAAAGCCTTTTGCTTTTGTGTCCCACTTTCACAGGTCTCTACTATCTGCTAGTTAATCTGACTATGTATTTTGCTAATTGGTGCAAATAATATTCAGACACATAAATTATTCATTGCTGTCATAAATTACTCATTATTGAGACTATAATATGAAAAGCCCAAAGCATGTTGATTACCTCCTAATGTGAGGATGTTCTTACATCCTAAATTTACCACTCTTTTGAAACAGTGCTACTGTATACGGTTTGCATCAGGGAAAATAATTATTCTTATGATCCCATTATTCTGTTAGTGAATGGTTGGCTTTTTAAAGGTGACAGGCATCATTTTTCTTTTCTTGAAAGATGATTAAGGTCATATTTAGCTCATTGGCTTTGCTAAGGATCTTTAGGGATAACATTTGAGTCATTCTCAACCTGGAATTTGAGAGACAGACTGGTCGTATCCAAATTACCAGGGGATAAGCAGGGTTCTGGGAAGCCTGGAGAGGAAGGGGCTGGAGCTGCCTGTCCTGGATGCCTTTTCAGATCTCTAGGGTCAGACGGGCCATGCCAGGATATAACATTAAACATTTATCCACCCAGATGATGGGGCAGGTGTGCACAAAAAAGGAGTGAAGACTGATGACAAAAATTGAGCAAAGGGGATGTGCGAGGATTAGGGGAGCTGGTTCTTCTCCAGATGATCTTTGTATTTTCATTCATAAAGTTAACATACTACTTGGCTTTGATATCCTGAGGGCCTGGGGTTTTCTCTGCCCTTTCTCTGTGCCTCCTCCAGTTGTGCCTGCGTTTCTTTCTTTTAACTGCGACGTATAGTAAATAGAGAGCCATGGATGATCAGGCCTTAAAGTGTGTTAGTGTATTAACATGAAGTTTTATAGGCAAGTATTAGCGTCTTATGGTAGAGACAAGTGTGGCTGGACTTTTCTTTCATAGGTTTGGCTGTGGTAAGTATGTTACCTAAAGATAGAAAAAAACCAAAACATATAATTTTTTTCTCCCTGATGTAGCTACTGATTAGTTTTAATCTAAAATAGTGGTGATGGATAATGAAATATCTGAGGTGGTGTCCTGGATGAATCACCACAGATGTTTCTTCTCACATATATATGTAATGAAATGGAAGCAACTTTATTCACCCCAGTTCCTCTTGGAGAGAAGGAGTATGTGTTTAGAACTATTTTGAGAAGCCTGTTGAGGTGGGTAGGGGACTCCAAATGGCCTGCTCCAGAATCAGAAGATGTCCCAGATACTGTCTAAGGAGGGTGAGTCGTGCTGACCAGAGGACTTTGTTTTTCTGAATACTGAGATGGTCAGGTCTGCTGGTTCAGAGGTTAGGAGCAGCTCTTAACAACAGAAAGGAGAAGAACTGGACTTTATTTTTCATTTATCTGTTCATTATTTCAGATATCTTTATCGAGTCCTTCTGTTGCAGGAAAATGGGGCATGAGAGGATGGTTGTGTCTCAGGTCTCAGGCGAGTCCCTGGGATGCATTTTGCCAAGTGAGGGTTCTGTCACAATGCTCAGACCTTCAACCTGGAGGGATCCCAGGTGAAAAATGTTCAACCTTAAACATGCTTATGTTCTTTAAAAAAAAAATTGACTTCGCACAGGAGAGAATTCAAGAGCGAGCCATAGTAGAATAAAGATAGGTGTACTCAGGGAGATACACACTCCATAGACAGAGTGCAGGCCTTCTCAGAAGGCAAGAGAGAGAGAGGTCAACTGGTACAGTGTTGTTAGTTTTTATGAGTTCAGTAATTTCATATGCTAACAAGTGGGAGGATTATTCCAACTGTTGTGGGGAAGAGGTAGGGCCACTTTCAGGATTGGGCCACTGCCCACTTGTTGACTTTTTATGGTCAGCCTTGGAACTGTCATGGTGCCTGTGGGAGTATCATTTAGCATGCTAATACATTACGATGAGTGTATAATGAAGCTCAAGGTCTACTGGAAGTCAAATCTTCCACCATCTTGGGCCTCAAGTCCTTCTGGAAGTTGAATTTTTTTGCTGTCTTAGGCCTAGTTGAGTTTTAAGAAGTTTATGTCCTATCCTTAATTGCTGGGTCATTCTTTTAATGGTTGTGCCCTGTCCCATTCTGTCCTGTCTCACTTTCTCTCTGTTACTCAGCCATGTGACTTTAATGGATGTATTGCTGGGATACATGGCATGTGCCCAGGGGTAACAGAAGCTATAGAATAAACATGACACATCTTCCTCATGGATTGGTGGTCCTCATAGAATGTGGAGAATTCAAAACTCATATACATTTTTAAAAACATTAAACTTTAAAGAAATTGCTCCTAGACACTCCCCCCTCCATCACGTTATGTGCTTACTTTCCTCAGGCACGCACAAAGTGCTGGAAGAATTCAGAGGACAGAAAGAACGTTTCTGGCAATGGACAGAGTCCTGAGGGACCAAAGAAGGCTTTATGGAAGCAGGACTTGAGGTGAGTCTCAAAGGACTGGGAATATTTGTTAGGGAGCAACTGATGGATGTGTGTTGGGATGGGTGGAGACATGCCAGGTGAGAGGGTGGCATGAGTCCCAGCTCAAGGGTGGAAATACCAATAAGAGAGTGGACCAGTTTGGCCAAACTGTGGAAGAGTGAGAGAAGATCAGAACAGCAATATGAAGATCGGTGGGTGGGAGCCAGCTATCAACTATCCTGTTCATTATTGGGAATTTCTGATGATTTTCGACATTTTCAAAGAGATGCCCTAGGGAGGTAAATGGAGAGATGTTATGCAACAGTGGAGAGTGAGTTTAGAGACTGGATTGTTTGGTTTAGTGATTCCTAATCAGAGAAGCACTTTAGAATCACCCCGGGAGTGTTTCTAACTACCTATGCGGGGTCACTCACCATTGGAGATTCTGATTCAGGATGTCTGGTGTAGAGCCCAAGAAATCAATATTTGGAAAAAGCTTCCAATGAATTTTGTTGTATTCCCTGATTAAAAACCCCTGAAATGGGAGGTGATTATATGAGGGAGAAAGAAATTTTCCTCTGTCCTTCTAGGTTCTTCTGGCTGCTCTAAGAATTAAATTGTCCTGACACACATTAACAGGAGAAATCAAAGTTTAATAACTAGCATACATAGGAGAGACCCAGGAGAACTGAGTAACGTGCCAACATGGCTGAAATCCTCACCTTAAACACCATCTTCAGCTAAAGACAAGAGAGGACGCTGAAGGTGGGGAAAGTCAGTTATGGAAGTTACCAGGAGACACACTATGAACACAGGTAAGATTGTTATGCAGATTTAAGTCTTTTCCATTGAAAAGTTTCTAGAGAGTTGCCATCCTCCTCTTCCTGGTTCAGTGGTGGGAAAAGCCGTTACAAATGGAGGTTTTCCTCACAAATTTAAATGTTTCTTACAAAAGGGTATCCCTACTTGGTTTTCAGAGTTTGTCCCAAGTCTGCTGTTTCTTAGAAAATAATCAGCTTAAAATAACGTTCCAAAGAGATACATTTTTGGGTGGCAGATTCTGCTCCCCTGTAATTAAGGTAGCCTCTTCTTAATGTAATGGAACTTGGATTTAGGGCAGCGGCAATGGCAGTGGAAAGGGTTCAATCTGAAAGACTTGGAAAAGAATAAGGAGGACACGAATTGACACTAGACCACTCCTTGCTCCAGTATATGTGATGTTCTGAACCATACCCCACTGTGAAATAAAATTCATATTTTATGGCAAGACAAGAAAAATTTAAATATAAAAAATTTTCTCTGCCCTTTGGCCTCCTCTCTGCCCTCTTCTGTGCTTGGTGTACCTGCATTATGCATTGACCACACCTACCCATCAGCAGAAATACCTGCCTAACCATAAAGAGCAGCATTCTCCTCATATCAACAAGATGACTCCTTGAAAGATAACATTCCTTCTTAATTGTGTAGGGGCCATGATGACCCATGACCACTACTCGCGTTGAACGTTTAGATCTAGATTGTGTAAACTGCCAGTACTGTGTCATTTAAGGTACAGCCAAATCAAATTTGTTGTATCTTTCTTAGGTTGACTGATTAATTTTTTCATTGACACCACTATCTATGTATCTTTCAAACCAGAACATACTCGTCTTTCCAAATCACCTGGGCCTGAGTTAGCATCACTTACAACCCTTTCCTGGGAAATCATTCCACAGCATACATAGTTCTTTGAGATCTTTATGGGCAACTTTTAAAAAGGGTATTTTTGCATACTGTTATTGCTAACATTACCATCACTCTTAATGTTTCAAAAGCATTTTATTATAATTTCCAGCTTCCTTTTTGTCCAGTTCTCTCCTGTGAAAGAGAGTTACAATATACAGAGCAAAGGCATGAGGAAAAAAAAAATCTCTAGTCTGTTGCATAGAGGCTCACAATCCTCGTAAACTCCGTATGATTATTTGTCCTTGAACATCCTTAGAATAAGGGAGACTCAGAGAAGATAATACGCCTGATGATACTTAAGACAGGAAAGTACTTCCTGATCCTGAACAAACTGAATTTAAAATCTTATTTGGCGACTAGGGGGAAAACACCGGTTTTATCACAAATCCTTTATGTCGGAGCAGACAATGTTTCATTAAAAGACAGAGAAAAATTGCTGATGTAGACCCTTCCTTTCTGGGAAGCTGATCTTTTTTGTCGTGGAACAAAGACTGGTAAAAATGTTCACGTTGCAGTCATCAGGATTGCAAAACTTGAATTTGATGAACAAACGTATTTATCACTTGAGATATATACGTGTATATTTGGCTACACGATTCAGCCTTTTGATTTGCATTGACCATTTTGAAAAAAATGAAGCATTCTTTGGTCATTTAATTTATTTCTTTGGAATATTCCTAGTTTGTGGCCTAACTGACTGTACTGTTTTCCTCAGCCTTCGGGTAAGATAAGAACACGGGACTCTCAGAAACGTCCATGTGGTTGACCCAACACTAAGTCTGTACCAGTAGGACCAAGGGACATCATTAGGAGTGGGAAGCACACAGCCACATCTGCTGACATCAGTCTCAGCAGGTCAGGGAAGAACCCCAGCTATGCTGGCTTCTCCAGTAATCTGTTATGGGAGGTAATACAACAGAGCATTAATTCTGCCAACTACAAGTTGTCGCTCGCCATCTGGTTCCACAGGAATGAAGTCACCAGCCACTGTAGTCACTGACCTTCAGCACACCCTGAGAGGAGTTCAGGGCACAGATCAGGAATGAGGCATCTGTGCTCTGGGAAAAACGGGCAGGACAGGCCTTCAGATAGTTAGGTATTTTCAGGAGAAGATTTTATGAACCCAGTTTCTTGCATCTTCTCATATCTAGAAAAGCATTAAAATCATTATCAGAGACTAGCAGCAGCCTTCCCATAACTAGCAGTGACCTTCTGTCAAAATGTGTGCCAAACTTCACTAAAATCACACACACATATATATAGATATATATATACACATACATACATACACTGACCTTCTCCCTACTTCTGCTCTGAGCAGTCCCTCAGAGCTATCTGAGAGGTTGTCTCCCAGGCTATCGTCCTCATTAGGCCCCAAATAAACCTTAACTCACAGCTCTCATGTTGTGTGTTTTGGTTTTTTTTTTTCGATCGACAACTTATATGAACAGGTCTGGATGCACCCTCTACTTTCAGCCTTCATCACCTCTCTCTATTTCCTTCCTCTGTGGCATATCACTCTAGCCCTTTAGCGTTCGCTTCAGCTGACCTTTCCAGCCTCCTATGCCACCACCCACCAGTCACACCAGACTCTACCATTCTTGAAGATGTCACTCTCTTTGGTGCCTTTGTTCTTTTGCCCTTTGCTTGAAATGTCTTTTCTGCCCATGTCCCTTGATCAAAATACCACTCATTTATTTTTCAAGGTCTGACTCAATGTCACCTCTATCATGAAGGCTTCCAGACCCCCTGACAGTCATTCAACTCACATGTAATGAGCATCCACCCTATGCCAGGCATGATGCTGATGCTGTGAATAGATGGATGACACAGTCTCTTCAGGGGATCACATATGTGCTTCCATAGCCCACACAGTGGACAGGCTGGGAGGTATATTAATGTTATTAAATCAAAATTCAGTTCTTCTATTCCTAAAACTCCCAAGTTTCTGGTTGTCCTGTAGCTACACACACACACACACACACTGATCAGTGTCTTAAGGGAGGAGGAAAAGCCTAGGACAAAAGAGTCATGGTTCAGTTCTAAATTTCACATTAGATTTTTTGAACCTATAAGCAGGCAATAGTCTTGAGAGCCAGACTTTGCTAGAAGAGAAAAGGGTTTTCTAGAGACACACATCTACACCTCACGTGACAAGAGCCAATCTGGACCTATGCCGATCATGGACTTTTACTATGAGTACAGGGTGTGATGTAGGGAAGTTCTCTCCTCACAGAAAAAATCCTCCCCTCACCCAGTGCTGGGGGAGAAATGGGGATGTGTGGCATTGGTAATTTACTGTAAAAATAATACATATATATATATATTTTGTCTTTGTCCACACTTTCTGGATCGTGGCTCCCAAAACCCTTGAAATTTCCTAAGCAATAAGAACAGTGGGAGCATCTTTTTGTCCTCTGTTCCTGAAATGGCTTCAGAGAGACAAGTGTGAAATGGATGCTTTATTGTTCATGACAAGCTCCTTTCAACCACACCTGAGTTTAGATTAATAAGGTGACTTTTGGAAAGCCCCCTGGTAACCTAGGGTTGGGGGCTGGTTGCCAGGGGAGCCAACCATGTGATTAGAGGGTTGGAACTTTCAGCCCCACTCCCGACCTCAGGGAGGGGAGAGGGGCTGGAGATCGACTTTAATCATTGATGGCCAATGATTTAATCAACCACGCCTAAGTAATGAAGCCGCTAAAACAATCCTAAAGGATGGGGTTCAGAGAGCTTCTAGGTTGGTGGAACACATCCATGTGCACCCCAAACTCCATGGAGGCAGAAACTCCTGTGTTTGGGATCTTTACAGACCTCATCCCATGTATCTCCTCATCATTTATATCGTTTAATGTCATTTGTAATAAACCAGTAATCTAGTAAGTAGACTTGTCTCCTGAGTTCCTGAGCCACCCTAGCAAATTAGTGGTTAACAACTTGGACTTGTGTTTGGCATCTGAAATGGGGAAAGTTGTGGAACTGAGCTTTGAACATGCGGGATCTGCCACTATCTCCAGGTAGGTAGTGTCAGAATTGAGTTAAATTGTGGGACACCCAGCTAGTGTCTGCAGAAGGATTAAAAATCATATGCTCATCTCAAGAGCTGCAGAAAAAGCATTTGACAATATTCTGCAGAATTGCCTAATGTGTGGAAATCCTCCCACCGTCCCCATCCCCAACTCTGCATTTGGTGATCGGAAGTGGCAGCAGTATTCAGAGAGGGTTGTGCATGACGTGCATGAAAACAACAGGCAGAGAGGGACAGTTACATGTAAATGATCAGCTTTTCCCTTGTAGGATCAGGATCTGAACCTCAAACCTCTAAAGGGAATCTAGTAACAGCCAGAACACCTGGGGCCTCTGGGAACTTCAGAGCATGTACTCTGCTTCTCTGGGACAATGCAAGCCTCTTACAGGCCCTATATCCCATGACTGGTGTCCTTGTAAGAAGAGGAAAGGACAGAGAGAGACATGGTAGAGGGCCATGTGAAGATGGAGGCAGAGATCAGAGTTATGCTTCCACAAGCCAAGGGACACCAGGAGCTCCTGGAAACTGGAAGAGGCAAGGACTCCTCCTCCTGCAGGGACTTTGGAGATGCATGGCCTTGATTTCAGACTTCGAGCTCCCAGAACGGTGAGGAAAATAAACTTCTATTGTTCTAAGTCTCCCCGGTTGGTGGTATTTTGCTTGGCAGCCCTAGGAAGTGAACCCTGTGTGGAGCAGTGGGACAGGCAGGGGCAGGGGGTTTATGCTCCTGATTGCCCAGCTGAGGCGTGTGGCCAGTGGGATTTGGAATTTACATGGGCCTGAGTGGGAATATAGACACCTTGAAGGAGCCAGAGTTAGAAGGGTCAGTGATCAGGACAAGGGAGGCCATGGAGAAGGGTCTTGTATGCTGGTGAATAAACCAGGGATGAGGGAGAGGATTTTTTCCGGCAAGTTTCTGGTAGGATCTTTGCTGCTACTTAACGAGTATTTAAAACTGTGTAAATTAATTCAGATGTAAATAACCATACAGACAACCAGGGATTTGACAAGCAGAAGTGTCTGCCAACATGTCCTGAGTAATTAAGTAATTTTTGCACTTTCCTCATTTTGCTGGCAGCATTATTTCTTAGCTCTGGCTTGATGGTGCTGATTCTAGGATTAAAAAAAAAAAGATGTTGGATTTTGTTGGCCGACTTCTCAGGCTGTGGGAGCAACTGCGAGAGTAAAGGCTCAGCCCTAGAAGCTTCCGCTCTCGGTTCTGAAGCTGATTTAGCATTAAGCCTTGGGCCAAGCCACTAGCTTCTTCCTGACCCATTTTTTGTTTTGTTTTGTTTTTGGAACCATTTTTACAGGAGGTCATTTTATCTATCAGTTTCCCAGACCTCTGTGAGAATCGGTTAGAGTCTGAGCTCTGGGGATGAGGGTGGCTGAGCGAGCACAATCACTGCTGTTCCGAAGACTTGAAAATGCACGAATCGAAACTTTTCTAAGTTTGGATCTGCTTTTCCTCCCCTTTGCCTGGACATTAGAGCAACTGAATCATTCTCAGTGGCAGAAGCTAAGTGCATGGCTAGTCACAGGCTCTGCCACAGAAGGTCACTGAATTCCCAGCCTCTCTGTGCTCGTTTCTTATTCAAGGGCACTTTGAAGGTATAACAGGTCATCAGTATTCTAAGTCTACATTCTGAATCAAAACAACAGTTTAGTCACAGATGAGATGGAATACCTGGGGTTAAAAGAAAAATAAGTTACATACCTTTCTAAGTGCAGGCAAAACTGGTTTTGTCCTGAGTGAGCCGTGGGCTGCAGCCTCTCTTCAGAGCTGACTCTTGGGGGGATTGGCCAGGGTTGCTTTTTGCTTGGATTTTTTTTGTCGACTTTGGGACACTTTTATCTCTGATGGCTGGTCTGTAGCTTAAAGTGATACTTCTGCCCCCAACTCAAGTTTCAGGGTGGAGAAAAGATTTTTAACCCAGAATACACCCACAGCTGCCCAGCCTCAGGGAAGGACTCATTGGCCTGAGTGAGAGAGGCTCCTTGGGGTGTTGTTTGAGTCTCTCTGGCTCACCTCCATGCCTCAGTGTGGGACTGAGAGAGAAGGGGGCCCCCGAAGGCTGGGTGGGGGCTTTCTGGCAACTCCCAAATGGGGGTTTGCCAGTGGGAACTTACTGTTTTGCCTGGAGGTTTGAGAATTACCAGTAAATCAGCATATCAGCTTTTAAGTGCCTACACAAGACTTGGCATACAGTAGACTATGAATAAATGTTTGTTAAACAAATGGAAAAATAATTGAAGCCCAAATTCCACTGTTGACTGTAGGAAAGATTTTTGGGTTATCGGTTCCTTCAAGGGTGGTTTTACTGCTGTGACTTCCTCCCCTCTTGCTGCAACTGCTCTCCACCTTAATTCTCTGTTTGTGACACAGGCTTCCTTTCCATGGCTTTGGCTTTTCCGCTCCATCTCCCTTCTCAGGTGATGGGTCTTGGCTGAATTTGTGACAGACGTGTCTGGAGCCTGGTAGGATTTCTGGGGCTTTATGTACACATTACATTTTCCTGTAAGATTTATAGGAGTCTTTCTGCAGAAACAACTCCTTCCCTGAAGTTACATGTACAGAACCATGATGAGGGAGTGTTGTTAAAATAGCTGATACATCTCCAGGTGTGGAAGGAGCCAGGGCCTAGAACTAAATGGAGTGTTTCTAACAAAGCCTCATTGTTTGCGATCTGTTTACAGTGCCTGTTTAACGGGCTAATAATAGGAAGATCACTTAATTTCCATAGAAGGCAGCACTGTCAGGAAGATGACATTTAGACGAGTTCAGAACACGAGCAGGAAGCCGCATCCCATGACTCTGCCTCCCTAACCCATGATTCTCTGAAATTGTCAGTTCTGTGATTCCTGTCCCTCCCTGGTCCCCCTCTGTCCCTCTCCCACCATCTTTGGTGAAAATATGGCTCTGTGTTTGCTGCACAGGCCAAGCTGGCTTATACCTGGTGTTCATGTCAGAACAGAATCACATCTGCAGGGTGTGGAGAGAAGTCATTTGGCTAAATTCACACAGCTTGAAAGTGGGAATTTAAGCTGAAAAGCTTCCTGACTAGCTTATCATCTGAGTCAGTTCAGTGAAAAATACATCTATTCAACACACCCTATGTCCGAAGCCTTGTGCTAGGTGCTCTACAAGCATTTGCACTTCTCTGTTGAGATTCTTATCAAAGTCACAGATGGCTCTGTGCATCTCCGTTCATTTTTGAGCTCCTTATAGGCATGGATGGTGCCATGTTTATTGGGTTTGCAGACTGGTAAGTGCTCTTAAGTAAATAAGTAAGAGGTAGACATGGTCCATCTTCATGTTGCTCATTATCTAGTGGGACAGACTAGTTTAAGTCAACTTCCACATCAGTCAGACTGATAACAGCATCCATCCATCTATATATACACACATACACATCCGTTTCATGAACACTTACTGGATATTTGTTATATGGCCATGCAAAGAAGAAGATGAAGTTTATAGAGGGAGAGAGATATTCAACATGTAAAGAATTATAAGACAGTGCAGTATTCCACCTATATGAAATATCTATAGACTAGTCAAGTTCATAGAGAGAGAAAGTACAATGGTGGCTGCCAGGGGCTGGGGAAGGGGAGAATGGGAAGTTACTGTTGAATAGATATGGAGTTTCAGTTTGGGAAGATAAAGCAATTTCTGGAGATAGTTAGTGGTGATAGTTGTACAGCAATGTGCCTGCACTCAATGTCACAGAAGTGAACACCTTAAAAATGATTAAAATGTGTTGTATTAGGTATATTTTAACCAAAAAAACCCTGCAAACAAACAGGGTGATAAGGACTCTGTGGCCCGAGGATAACTGATCCCTGGGGCCCAAGCCTGTGCCCCTGCTTGTCTGGAAAGGGGCTTGCGTGGCTGTAGGGATGAGAGCAAATGGAGGTAGAGGATCTGGAGGCATAGCTCATTTAAGCTATAAGAGTTTCTTTCGTTATACACTTCCCCTTTCTAGAAGTCATGAGTTCTAGCCACAGTGGACACCAAATTAAAAAGGCCCCTTGGTAAATAAAGAACTTTTGTAATTATCTTATCATCACATAACAAACAATCCCCAAACTTAGTTGCTTAAACCACTAGCCACCTTTTATTTGCTCATGACTCAGCTCTGGGCTGAGTCATGAGCTTTATGCTGTCTCTGCTCCACGTGGTACTGGCTGCACTTAACCCATGGGTTCGGGATTGGAAGAGCCAGGATGGCCTCCCCACATGTATGGGCAGAGCTGGGGGCTGGCTGAGTCTCTCTGTCCCCATGGAATATCATATTTAGTGAGGCAGATTGATTTTTATTAATTTTAATCCATGGAGCTTTGCAAACATCATTTGGCAAAGTTGCATCGTTTAATAAATAGAAACAACTTAATAATTCATCATGCTTCTTACTTTTGTCATCACTCATTTTACATAATTTACTAGATATTTGAATAGTGTCCTTATAATTTATAATTTATTTTGTTTCAAGTGGTATACATTTGTTTCTCTATAGTTTCCTTTACTTAGCCTTATATGCTTAATTACTTTTATTGACTGTTGAATTAAATTGATTTATTATTTAGTTAAGAAACTTATTTCTTGTGAAGCCACAGAGAGTATGGATACCACCATTAGAATCCTGTTTATTAAGGTTAATTCTCTGATTTTTTCCAAAATGTTTGCTCCCATTTTACAAATTATTTGGTGGGAATGTAGTTTGGTGCAGCCATTATCGAAAACAGTTTGGAGATTCCTCAAAAAACTAAAAATAGACTTACCATTTGACCCAGGAATCCCACTCCTGGGCATATAATCTGGAGGCAACTCTAATTTGAGATACATAACACCCCAATGTTCATAGCAGCACGATATACAATAGCCAAGACATGGAAACAACCTAAATGTCCATCGACAGAGGACTGGATAAAGAAGTTGTGGTATATTTATACAGTGGAATAGTTCTCAGCCATAAAAAATAACAAAATAATGCCATTTGTAGCAACATGGATGGACCTGGATATCATCATTCTAAGTAAAGTAAGCCAGAAAGAGAAGAAAAATACCGTATCACTCGTATATGGAATCTAAAAAAAAAAGAAAGGAAAAACAAGACACTAATGAACTTATCTATAAAACAGAACCAGACTCACAGACATAGTAAACAAACTTATGGTTACTTAGGGGAAAGAAGGTGGGAAGGGATAAACTGGGAGTTTGAGATTTGCAAATACTAACTACTGTATATAAAATAAACAAATTTCTTCTGTATAGCACAGGGAACTATATTCAAATCTTGTAGTAACCTACAATGAAAAAGAATATGAAAATGAATATGTGTATGTATATGTATGACTGAAACATGCTGTACATATTGTACAAAAATTAACACATTGTAACTGATGATACTTCAGTAAAAAAAAATATAAAATTTCTAAATTCTGCAGGGGTGGGATCAAGATGGCAGAGTAGAAAGAACTGAGTTCACCTCCTCCCATGGACATAACGAAACTACAACTACATGTAGAAGAACTATCTCTGAGACTGACCAGCAGAACAGATTTTCTACAACTAAAGATACAAGCAAAAGGCCAAATCAAGATAGGAAGAAGAGGCAGAGACATGGTCTAGTCAGAACCCACATCCCCCCCTGTGGTGATGAAGGATATCACAACCGCGGAGGCTCCCCGCAAGGAGTGAGGGGCCTGAGCCCCAGTCGGGCTCCCTAGCTCAGGGGACCTGCACTGGGAGGTTGAGCCCTAATAATGTCTGGCTTTGAAAACCAGCGGGGCTTACATCTGGGAGATCTGAAGAGCTTTGGGAAACCAAGACACTTGAAGAGCTTGTGCACAAACTCACTTGCTCTGTGTCCTGGTTTTAGGGGCAGAATATTGGAAAGCACCTGGGTCATACGGGAAGGATTGTCACTGGCTAATTTTAGGGCCAGAGGGGCAGGGATCTCGGGGAACACTTGTGGGTGCCATTTTTTTTACTCTCCTTCCACCTAGCAGGTTTGGTGCTGGCAGGTGCCATTTCTGTCACTCTCAATCAACCTAGCTAATGCTGTGTGCTTTGCTAAGCTGCTGGCTCCAGCCGGCCCCTCCTAAGCAGACACATGAAAAGATGCTCAACATCACTAATCATCAGGGAGATGCAAATCAAAACCACAATAAGCTATCACCTCACATTTGTCAGAATGGCTATTATCAAAAAGACAACAAAAAGCAAGTGTTGGTGAGAATGTGGAGAAAAGAGAACTCCCATACTCTGTTGGTGGAATGTTAACTGGTGCGGCCAGTATTGAAAAGAGGTTCTAAACTAAAAATAGAACTGCCATAAGAGCCAACAATTCCACTTCTGGGTATTTATCTGAAGAAAATGAAAACACTAATTTGAAAAGATATTTGCACCCTGGTGTTTGTTGCAGCTTTATTTACAATATCCAAGATATGGAAGTGACTGAAGAGTCCATCGATAGATGAATGGATAAAGAAGATGTGATGTATATACACAGTGGAATATTACTCAGCCATAAAAAATCTTGCCAATTGTGATAATGTGGATAGACCTAGATGTTATTATGCTAAGTGAAATAAGTCAGACAGAGAAAGACAAATATCATATCATATCACTTGTATGTGGAATCTAAAAAAAAAAACAAACCATAAATAAGAAAACAAAATAGAAACAGACTCAGAGATACAGAGAACAAACTGGCACTTGCCAGAGGGGAGGGTGTTGAGGGGTTAGGGGAAATTGATGAAGGGGATTAAGAGGTACAAGCTTCCAGTTGTAAAATAAACAAGTCAAGGTGATGTAATATACAGCATAGGGAATATAGTCAATAATATGAAAATAACTTTGTATGGTGACAGATGGCGACTAATTCATGGTGATTATAGTATGTGTAATTGTCGAATTACTATGTTGTATACTTGACACTAATATAATACTGTATGTCAACTGTACTTCAATAAAAACTTTTTTTCTGAATTCTTTTTGCATTATACCATTACAAGCTGTTCATTGAGACCAAAAATTCTTTCAATTTTAGTCTCAATTCCCAGATCATCAGAGATCTTATTTAATTCTTTGTTTATTTGATGTATGGTAGTTGTTGTGGACTCGACTGTGTCCCTCACCCCTAAGTCATATTTTGAATTCCTAACCCCCAGCGTGACTGTATTTGGAGATCGGGACTATAAGGAGGTAATGAAAATTAAGTGAGGTCATGTTGGTGGGGCCTTAACCAGATAGGAATGGTGTCCTTAGAAGAAGAGGAAGACTCAGACCCGTCCCCCTCTTCCTCTGCCTTCCCTCTGGGTGTGCAGAGAAGAAAGGTCATGTGAAGACAGTGAGAGATCATCTGCAAGCCAGAAAGAGAGCTCTCACCAGGAACTAAATTTCCCAGCACTTTGATCTTGAACTTCTAGCTTCCAGAACTGTGAGAAAATAAATTTCTGTTCTTTAAGCCACTCAGTCTGTGATATTTTGCTGTGGCAGCTGGAGCAGACTAATACAATAATAAATACAAAGCTTCAGGAAAAAGATTTACAGTGAATTATTTAACTTACATCTTTCATTGCATCATCCAGGGGTAAATGAATACAGTGACTTAGTGCCAAATTAAAAACATTTAGAAATGTTTCTAAAATTTTGGCTGAAATACCAGACTTTTTAACATATAGGCACTAGCATTGTTTGAACAAAAAGTGAAAATATATTTCACTGATACCATTTTTCTGAAGCATTGACAATAAAGATAGGTCATTATTTCAAAAATAATTCCTTCCAACTCCACGAGATCAACAAAATTTAAAATTTCTCACTTTAAAATAAATTATTAATAGGCTTTTATATGAAATAGTCAAAGTTTCATAGAAAATGACTATTTTACTCTTTTGATTTATAACTTTTAAAGTAAGTTGTTTTCTCAGTGGACACATGTTTTCCAATAAGTGGGACCATAAATCTAGAATGTAATGTATGCTTATATAGATATTCTTTTTTTTAATGGCTGTTGAATATTTCATGTTTGGAAATGCTTGATTATGTTTAAGTACATGCTGGCTAGTGTGAACATTTTAAGTGTATTTTCTTAATATTTTTAATCACTTAATATTTTGTTAAATTTAAAAGATTTTGTTCTTTCAAATGCATTATTGTGTGAAACTGATTTTTTGATTGTTTTTCTTGCTGATAATTACAGTTTTTTAATCAAACCATGAGCTTTGGTAAAATGTGATTGCCATTCTGATATATATCTAAATCTTGTAATGGTCAACTCAGAGCACCATTTGCATCCCAGGTTTACATTCCTACCATTGATGAGACGTTCATATTTTTGTTAAAATAATTAATTATTTTGTATTAAAGAAATAAAAAGTGTCGTGTGAATTTGTACTGATTCTTGCACTTAGAAAAAAATGTTCAGGTTGTTTGGATTTCCACACAGTAACAGAAGGTATTCTAGGCTACACTTAATATTAATATCATTACTTGTTCTTTGCAGACTCAGAAGATTGAGTTGTATGATATTTAAATGGAACATTAATAAATGTATCCACAGTTGGTTGTCTCTTTATTCTGTGAGTTTGTTTTAATATTTTATTTATAAATTCTTAGGTTTATAAATATCGAAACACTACATTTACCACTTACACAAGCATTACAATGCACGAATACAACTAAGGTAACAACTATTTAGAATCAGTGGCAACCACATGATTTCAGGATCGTGATAAACCAGAATGTCAGTAGCATGGTGTGCTTTGTGATAAATAAGTATCTGAGTAGCCTCTTTATCAATGGTCCTTTTGACATGCTATGACAATTGGCCTGAATGAATGAGTTTAATTTAGAATTTTTAATTATTTATTCATTCTCCTGTTTGCTGCGAGAACTCTTATACTACCTAGTGATTGGAACAGAAATCTTTCAATGTTACCACAATCACTGCAGTTATACTAATGAATATTGGCTGAATAAGTTGCAAGGCAGAAAGAAGATCTTTGAAGTCAAATGTTCTTTCTGATTTTGGAAAGATTCTGGGAGATGTTCCTGAGGAGGAGAGATGAGAGAGGAGAGAGGATGGCTTTACCAATTGCAAGAGGGAAACAGGAAACCATTTCCTGCAGCCTGCAAAGAGGCTGAAGTAGGGGTTCTGGAGGAGAGGTGACCCATACACTGCTTCATTCTAGAGATTCATGGAAGAGGCAAGACCTCAGAGACACGGCAGTGTGCTGTGTCTGGAGCCAGGCAGAGGGCTCTTAGACACTCCATGCAGGAGAATGCAGAAGGTCATTCTCTGAATGCTTTGGTGCTATTTAAGCCCGCTCAGAAGCTTTGCCCAACCTCATGGGGAGCCTCAATGAAGGCAATAGTGAATTTCCTGCTGGTCCGGCAAGCAAGAAGGGGGCTCCAGTTAGATTTAAATTATTTTAAAGAAAATGAAGAAGTAATTTTTCTCCAGCACTCATGAGTCTGCAGTTCATACCTAGCTTCTCCACTCATGTGAATGTGTGCCAAGCAAATTAAGTAAACATATCCCTAAGCTAAACAATGCCAACTTAGATATATGAGGGCATACAGAGCAACAAACATTGGCTACCAGTGAATAAAGTCACTGTGCTCAGCACAGAGCTGTCAATAACAGGCGCTTAACTTTAAAAAAAAATTCTTGCTGAATAAATTATATACAAGCAAAACGTTATAATACCTTGGGGGATGAGGAGTGAAAGGAAAATCTTTAGATCCTAGTTTGAACAAACCAGCTATAAAGTACAATTTGGGGACAACAGGAAGCACATACAGCAAAATGTCAACAGTTACTGAATCCACGTGATATGTAGTTGAGTTTTCACTACCCTCTTTTTCCTACTGTTCTGTATGTTTGAAAAGTTTATATTTATTAAATAGCCATTAAAAAATCCAAATTATCAAGACATTCCAATAACCAAACCCACCAGAGAGAGAGAAATGGTGAGGTGGATTAGCTGGCCATAACCTCTTTCTGGTGGGGATTTGAAGGAACATGGGGATGGTGACTGGGGGAGAAGTTGGTGAACTGGGTTTATGATGCAGGATGGGCAGAGCTTTCTGGGATTCTGACTTAATTTGGCTGGAAAGCAAGGGAGTAATTGGATATACCACACCAGCACTGAAAAGTGCACGAGTTCACTTATGGGGGGAAATGTCTGGAGATCCTCTTGAATTCTCTGCTAACTGAAGCTCTGGTCAGATTTTCCTGTGGGTGGAATGGGGTTAGTCGTGGGCTAGGAGGAGCTCAGAGCCCTCTTAACTAAGCTTCCTGTGAATTCAAAGGCATACCTCTTTAGGCTTCGGCTATTTCTCTCATGGGTGCTTGCAGGTGAGGTGGAGAGGGAGCGTAAGGGCAGGATAGGGTTGGAAGAAGCTTTATGATGAGCCAAGTCTTTAGTCGTGTGGAGACACATTATTTGCCTTCACTTTTGATAAACTGAGGTGTTACTATTCATAAGATAGGAAAAGGCAGAAAACCCAAACTCAACCTGTATATAAGTGGAGGAAGGAGGCTAGGGGTTTAGGGGCTGGAAAACAACCCCTCCATGCCTCTATTAAACCATGGTATCAAGAGTGGTGTTCACCTGTAAGTGACAGAAACTCTTTCCATGACTTAAAAAGTAAGTTTTATTACCTCATACAAGGAGAAGTCAAGAATGGGAAGTTCAGGGCTGGTGGGATGGCACAATTATGTTGTCAATGATACTTGCTCCCTCTGTCTTTCTAGCTTTTCCATTCCTCTTGTGTTGATTTCCTCCTCATGGTCACAAGATGGCTGATGTACCTCCAGGCATTAGGCTTATATTCCAGGCAAAAAGAAGTATATGTCTCACAGGTTCAGACTGAATCACATGGCCATTCCTGCCTGCACAGTGGCTAGGGGGAAAAAAAAATCAAGTGATTGGCTTTTCAGTGTCAACAGCAGCTGAAACAACATAGGTTGGCAAGATACTATGATTTATAAGAAATATGTATTTGATCATTCAGACATACACTATCCTGGCTCATATCTCCCAAAACTCTTGAAATTTCCTGAGTGATAAAAGCAATGGGAGCATCTTTTATTATAATACTTGTCCCCAGTTCCTGAAATCGCTTCAGAGTCAGAAAGTTGAAATGGTGTCTTGTTATTCATAACAAGCCCCTTTCCAGCACAAGTGGGTTTGTGTTAATAAGGTGATTTTTGGAAAGCACCCAATGATGGGGTCTAGTTGTGAAGGGAATCAACCATGAATAGAGGGTTGGAACTTTCAGTCCCATTCCCTGATTGCTGTAAAGCGGAGAGTTGGATGGAAGTTGAATCAGTCACCACTGGCCAGTGATTTAACCCATCATGCTTGTGTGATGAAGCCTCTGCAATAATCCAGGAGGATGAGATTTGGAGACCTTTCAGGTTGCTGAACCAGAACCCAACCTTGTGGGTGGTACACCCCAAACCCCATGGGGACAGAAGCTCCTACGTTCAGGACCCGTCCTGACCTTGCCCTATTTCTTGATCTGGCTGTTCATTCGTATCCTTTAATTATCCTTTGTGATAAACTGGTAAGCAAACTGGATTTCTGAGTTCTCTGAGGTGCTCTAGGAAACTAATCAAACCCAAGGAAGGGGCCATTGGAATCTCCAATCAATAGCCAGTCAGCCAGAAGCATAGGTTAACAACCTGGTCTTGTGATTGGGATCTGAAATGGAGGGCTGTCTTGTGAGACTGAGCCCTTAACTTGTGGAATCTGTGCCATCCTCAGGTAGATAATGTCAGAATTGAGTTGAATTGTAGGATACCCAGCTGGTGTCTGATGATTGCTTGGTGATGTGGGAAGCTACCCCGACCCCACACACATTGGAATTGGGTGCAGAACCATTTAGTTGGTCACTCAACGTCCATTCCTATCATTTTATTCCTTGCTTTCCTATCTTGTGTCACAGGCACTTTTTCCCCCCAAAGACACTGCCTTGTGATGGACGGAGTTATTTATTAATCTCACCAATCAGACTGAGAATCTTGTGAATTTCTGACAGTGCCCACAACATATAGGTACTAACAGTTGTTGAATAAGCAGTACTTGCCTGGGGTTCTTATTTTCTGAGATTCTATCACTGCAGTCACCTTTACTGAGATACCATTCTGTAACTGATAAAACAAGATAAAGCAAGAGTGGGGAATAGGCAGGAAAAACAGAGGCTGTGATATGGTTGGAGACTTGAAAGTCAGAGTGGTGGGATAATGAAATTTTCTTTTGATGTAGTCTCCTGATTCTGGTAATGCTGGACTACATAATTCAGACCAATCCTCCCACTGAACACAATTTAAAAAGCTGAATGAAATATAAAATCATCTTCTTAAAAGCACCAAAGACTTAACTAAGCAGTAAGGAATTACTGGGGCCAAGTTCTAAGAGTGGTTGAGAACCCAGAGAGGTCAGCCTTGCACTTGGGGCCAGTTTTGCCCTAGAGGCATTTGCTAACCTAGAGGAGATGGCTGAGAGGCTGGGTTGTGCTTTTAGTGCTTTGAATGCAGAGTAGGGGCAAAAGTCAGAGTCCAAGGACCACCAAGGCGTGGGACTTGGTAACACACTTGCTTTGGCTTAGGATCCAAAAAACTTCTCCATGTGAATAAGGGTGAACCAGAAAAAAACAAAACAAAACAGCCCTTACACAGATGGCAGTCATCTGGCTTGCCCACAAAATCTCAATGCTCGACATTGGATTAAGGTAACTCTAGAGCGCTCATTTCCCCCAGACACTCGGCAAAAGAAGTAGAAAATTTTCCTTGGAGAAAGATAACATCATCTTAGACCTCAAATTTCTACAATGAACTTTTCAAAATAATGTTGGACATACAATAAAAAATTACTAGACAGATGAGGTGCTAGGACTCCTTAAGGAAGAACCAGCAGAAACAAATGACAACAGATCAGCCGTAAAGGGACTCAACATAGCTGAATTATCCAACTTACATTGAGATTATCATATTATTTTGGTGTTACAAAAATGTATGCAGTATAATTACAAGAGTTAAAAGAAATAATTGGTATAAAAGGCAAAAAATAGAGCTAGAAAAATATATTACTTTTGTGTTGGTGGTGTCTGAGAGTAGCAGATTATGGTGTTTGTTTCATCTTTTTCATCTCTGTATTTCCATTATTTCTTCAATGAGAATTTATACTTGGAGACAAACTTAAGTAAAAAAGAAAGTGGCAAAAAGTATAACCCAGAGCAGGGCTAGATTCACAGGTTTGCAACCTCTACAGTAGCCCTGGGTCTGGTACTCAGAGGGCCTCACCCTTGGTTTAATATTCTGCTGTTGCTACCTTGAAACTCTAAATATATATATACTTTAAACAAGAAGCCCCACATTTTCATTTTGCACTTGGCGGGGCAAAGTATGTAGACCCAGAGGCAATTAAATGCTGACCCTTCCGCAAATAAGGAAACCGAGATTTCAAGAGGTTAAAAAACTTGCAGCTAGAAAGGGCTCTGACTCCAAAAGCACATGCTCTTGCCATTTCCACTAGACCAACACCAATAACACAGAGCCATTGCTGCTGCCTCTCCAGGAACCCACAATAGTCTGCAAAGTCTAGTTTCCCTAATCCCAAGGTCAGACGGCGGGGGAGGGTGGAGGATGTGAGGGAAAGATGCTAATGGAGAATCTTGCACGGAAGGGAGCAGTGCTCAAACGCACTCCGGAGCATTAGGAAAGCTACAGTTTGGGAAAGCCCAGCCAACAACCCTGGGGGGCCACAGGCTTTTTTTCCTGTAACCCCAACCAGTCCCCTCAGCCCACACATTTCCTACTCCAGCAAAACCGCGAGAACCGGGAGGGGTTGCCGCCTCTAGGTGC